GGTCGCGGGTTCGATTCCCACCGTGGCCAAGCAAACTTTTTGGCTTGCCCGGTGTGGATGCACACTCAGAGTAACATCACAAACATGACCTTGTATAGTTCTCAGGGGCGTAGGAAGCATCAAAAGATTGGGGGGGGGGCACCGGCTCAGTAGGGGCACTTTAGGGAAAAATTTTCCCGCCGTACCATACCGAAATTACACGTTTTTGACCAAATTTTTAAAAAAACCTTTGACGTTAATTTAGTATTTACAGCGACATTAGCTTCTACAAAAAAGGGCACTTTTCATCACAAAAAAGGGCACTTTTAGTCCTTTGGAAAAATTGGGGGGGGGGGGGGGGGGGCACGTGCCCCCTGATAGTTTTCAATATGTTTCGCCCTCTACCTGCGGTGCATGTAAGTCGGTATTATCTCAGACTTTCCTTTCTAATATTTTCTAAGACTATTGCTAGAAGGCCGCGTCTCTAAACATCAAAAGGGCGTATGACACGAAAATCACGTTTTTCCAAGTATACTTTTATTGGAAAGAACTTCGTATACTCATAGTGTAGCATTCGTTCAAGTTTTTCCATATCTCGTTTCGTTTTCGAGATATTGAGGTTGTTGTGATATGTAAATAAAGCTTTCTGCGTCACACTGTCTCATAATGAGCTATCGTAAAATTTGAAATATCTTTTCTATTGTTGAAAAAGCTTTGCCAGAAATAAGGTGATTTGACTCGGACTTTGCCAAATAGTGCACAACGTCAACGAACAAAGTTTTAGGTGATCTAGATCACTCGAAATATATTATACTGACAATTTAGCAGAGACTCATTATGCAATAAGACATTATTAACATTTAATAACGTACGAAAACCGACCTCGAAAACGAGTTTTGGAAAAACGTTAAAGATTGTCATATTTAAAAAGTTCTTATAATAAGAGTGTTTATAAAAATTCGTGACATATGTCTTTAAGACTGAGCTCGGCGAAAATACACGCGTGAACACTTTCAGTAATTCGGCAGCCGTCGTTTTGTCGCCATTATGAATTCATCATGACTGATACATCTGCGAAGAAGGGGCTAGCCGTGGGAAGCAAGGACACAATGTTTTAAAGAGCGGCTGTGAAGGGATACTATAGTGATTCTACAAATGATCGATAAAATGTCTGCCCTTCCTACAAGTCTAACAGGTTCAATGGAAAATTATTAGAAGACTAATATTAATGGCAGGTGAAAATATTGGTCCGACCACTTGACTTTCTTCATGCTAATAAAAGACCTGTTTAGGGTAGCTATGGCCGCATATAATTGTCACCGCATAATTATTGTCAGGCCAGCTGTCTATATATGAAAAACATAGAATAATCAATATTACTAGCTTATATTTTGACAGCTTGAAACATGTGTGTTTTGGAAAAATAGGAGAAAAAATGATTCATGCTAGAAAAATCACCATAGTTTTTTGTGGTTTCGTTTCAAAAACATGTATATTTGATATAGGGAATGAGAGTTAGGGTTGCAAGGCTGAAAATGGTTATAATTTGCAGTATAGTGTGCCGCCTGATATTTGCATAACAATGAATAAGGCTGCGTCGCCATAGTTGAATTACAGCCAAATATGCGACTGAACTAATAGGTTTTTCAGCCAATAAGTGGCAGCACGATTGATGAAGTGATTCTCGATATTATCCGTACGTCGACACTGCGACAAAGTGTGCTCTGTTGATAATGTCATTTTTCATTGTGAATACGTAGCATAGCCATAGACGGATTGGGCATACTACTTTTATGAAGGTCTCGTTAACTCAGAACAGTGAACATTTTCAAGTTTAAAAGTTCAAGAAGTGTAGACGTTATTGACATTTTTTGATGATTATTTATATATTTCTACTTATCGCCTGTCCAATTTGATGTCTCGGTAAAACTGTTTCGTATTTCTGGACTTTTTTCAGGTATACTAATCTATACTATAACGGGCTTGGATGTAGATAAATATTACTTAAAAATTAGAACAAGTGTCGAGCGAAGGCAGTATAGTTTATATAGGGCCGGTTGTACGAAGGGCAGATAGCGCTATCCACCGGGTAGTGATTCTTCAACGGTCGTAAAAATGCCTGAAATGCTGTAAAACGACGGATATCAAGCCTACAAGTAGTATAAAAAGTTTAACTTATAAATACTATATGAACTTTAATCAGAGTTAGATCAGTCAACGATTGATTTAACAAAACTTGAAACAGTCCGCTGCATGGCGCTATTCGGCCTTCGTATACAACCGACCCTTGGAAGTTATAGTAGCCAGCAAGGGCCTTTGTTCGTGTTTTTGTTTTCCAAGTGGTTTCATCATACATACAATGACACCCAACACTTAAGCATGTACAAAAGAGCAAGTTTTTTTTGACAAGTTCTATTTGCTCGTGTGTTCGGCAAAAACGTAGTAACAATCTTCCCTTGCCAAGGAGCTTTGTTCCAAAGCTATTCATACCAAAATGTGTTCGTGTGTACGGCTGAAATACTTCCATCATGGTTTTGGCAAACAAAAGGCGGTCTTGACGTATGATAAATGTTTAACAACATTACGTGCGGACGAGCGACAAATTAAACCTGTCAAGGGAAATTTGTCAAGGAAAACCTGCTCGGCTGTGGCTGTGCATGCCTATATAAGCCAGAAAATTTAGTTTAGTTTAGACGACAAAAGATAAAACTAAGACTCTGAGACTAAGTAGGAAACCCTGCATGCTACACTCTCTCGCCAAGTCACTAAAAATAAAAGCTCAATAGTTATTCAATTTTACAAATTTACACGGAAAAGCATGCATTCGGCAGTATATAGTACCGTATCGAAACTATAATCTCTATTGTTAAAAAAATAGAACAAAATCTACCTATATATTGGATTCTGGAATTCTAATCAAACGCGTGTGAAAGAGGCATGCATGATGCATGATACTGTACAAGGCCGTCGGAAGTAAATCAATATTGAGGGGCTCAAGAATAAATCTGAATTGCTTTCGTGCTATTCTAGTTCTTTTGCTCTCTAAAGGCGGAGACGGAGAAAGCGGGAAGTCACTGAAACCTCTGAGGATGAGAGAGGTTCTTTTGTGTGTTTTGCTTATACATATGGAAATTATTGGGGGGGGGGGTCAAGTCCCCCCCCCCCC